GCCAAAGTAATAAACAAAATGTACACCTTTTTGGTGCTACTTTTAAACACTAAAATAAAGCTGAGTTTAAGCTTGCCCATGCTTTTCCATCTTTGTACAACTCTCATACCTCAGTGGTTAAACTGGAATTTCAGGGACTGTAGGGTGATGTCCCCTCTTGATGCTCACAACTGATTTATTGTCAGGCTTCTCATCTGACTGCTGCTGCTGCTAATGTTTGGTAAGTCTCGCAGACCTGCACAGGCTCCAATGCAGTACAAAAAGCACCTCAGACTCACAGCACAGTGTGTTATCCAGAGCAACTGCACCCTTGGCTTGTTTGGGGTTGTTTTTTTTAGATATGGGAAGAAATATTCAGACACAACTGGGTAATCTACATTCTTCAAGAAGAGTCCCAAGGGCCTGGCATATGGACCACAGGAGGAAAGCATATCTGTTTCAGTTCCCTGTGGAGAGAGGGCTGTACCGCCTGCTCCTACTGAGGTCTGCGCAGCACCTCTTTTTCCCATGTGTTACTACACATAACATGTCAAAACATGCAGCCCAATTCATTCCCTGAATACATGGTCTTCTGCTGCCATGACAGTCCGTGCAGTCTCTACCTCTCCTTGCTATGTGTCCTCCCCACAGGATTTGAAGAACAGGTGCCCTACAACTGTCCAGCATTCATACACGACCACACTCGCCGTGGCAGTATACTGGATAAATAAAATAGCAAACCCTTAGGTGTGGGTATGTGCAAACTGTTAACTGCCTCAGTCAAAAACAAACACCCCCAGACACCCTTCATGAATGGTGTGCTGGAAGCCGCCAGCAAAGAGGAAGATGGGAATGAATGGGCAGCAGCCAGACCCTCCCTGTCCTCCTTCCTTTGGGTTTGGTGCCGAACCATTTCAGTGCACAACATCTTTCTGCTTCCCCTTCCCTTCTCTGAGCTTCAGATTGATCATCAGATGCATGACAGGATGCTGACAGCTGCTGATCCCTATCCCTCCAGAAATGTGGCTTTATTTCTTTTATTATGGTTATGTTCCTGTGCTGCCTGCCTTGCTCAAGGCTAATCACTCCTACAGGTGTGGATGGCAATTTTGACTTAAGGCAAACCTGACCAATACCATACTGTGCCCCATGCCCTCAGCTACGTGCCAGCTGCCAGGAAGTCCAGTTATTGCATCAATGTATTTATAAGAGGCAGTTCTGAGTTACAGCGTAGACACAGTTTGTAAAACAGCACATTGGGTATGTTGGAAAGATGTATCCAACACAGGCAGGGCTTTGGTCTGCTGTGGTGAGTCCCTGAGTCCACCCTGAAGGACGTGACAAAGAACACGGATGGCTGTACCTGCTCCTTCCAATGAAAAGTGCAGAGCACTTGAAGGGCTTCTTGCTGGAGTCTGCTGGTTAGCCATCAGAGTGGTTTAACAGTCCCTATAAGGCTGATCAGTTAATTGAATCAATAAAGCTACAGCCTTCACTAACCACATGCACTGTGCTTCCCATTCAATTTCTGCATATGTCAAATTCAGCCATGGAGATGCACAGTACTATTTTCATAATGTCTCTTCTCAGACCAAAGCAAGACTTCAACATGAATTATAACTTACAGCTGGAGAATAATGCTTTTGTGCTTTGAAAGACGTTGCAATGGTTTCATACCTGGAGAGCTCCAATGGACATTACTGGATTTTAGATGGGATTTATTTTATCTGGAAATGGTAAAAGCAGTAGCAGCAGCAAGACCTTACCTAAATTAAGCATTAGTTCTTGTTTACATTACAAAAGAAATTACAAATAGTTGTCAGTAGATATTTTCTTGCCTTCTAAAGGATCATAAAGTTCATGACTACATTTGAAATACAATAAATGTATCAAAATAGGAACTATAAAACCACAGCTATCAGACTGATAGCTGATATGAGAAGCCATTCTCCAAAGGGGCTTACAATATTTCAAGAAAATATGATGGAGTTTCAGTTTTCAGGGGAAAGATGCTCAGTGATTTCCAAAAACGCTGCTCTCCCCTCAAAAAAGTATTCACCACAGAAAGTTTTAAGCAGCGCACGTTAAAGTGAAAAGCCCCCAACACATTTATTGAAAAATTATAATAGTGTTTGCATTGCCCTTTCTATCTGTACTTCCATCAACGTGAGACATCATAAATACTAATAAGACGCTTCTCATCTCTAGTGTAGAAATGGGCTTTCAGCTGTGCGAGAAAACCCTGGTAAGGCAAGCCAGAGGATGACCTGAAAGGACATGAGCTGCCTATGCAGTTTGCATATGTGTGAACATTTTGGCATCAGCTGTATTGGCTTGGTTTACCTCCCTGCTTTGCAAACAGCCTAAGCCATGCATGCTTCCCAAGGTGTCTCATGCTGATTAAAGCAGCACTCAAAGGAGGAGCTAATATGGAGGGCAGTCTGGAGGGAGGTGGAAAGCTATTCCCCCTGCCATCAGGACAGGGGCAGCGGGAGGAACAGTAGATAAAAGGGAGAGGATGGGAAAAAGGAAAACAGGAAGGGTGTTTGGAGGACCTTTTCACTGAGTTCATACACAGCCTGGAGGTCCACAGGGTTCCTCATTTCTGCTCTCACACAGAGTCACCACAGATCTACTGTAGCTCCTGTAGTACCTTATTTTGTCATTTAAACTCTGAAATGTGCGTTGTAATGAGATGTAATGACTTCTACTCTAGTCTGTGGATGGCCAGTAAATGGGTATTAAGAGAAGTGCCTTAAGGAGGACTTGGTTACTCTAAAGATGAGCTGGCTGATAAAGGCTGCTTCCTCCCAAGGCCCTAACAGCATTTCTGCCATTCACACAGCAATCCCAAGGAAGCACCGGAAAAGCAAATGCCTACACAAGCTCATCTTTCCACTTCAGCCCTAGAGAGTTTGCTACTGCAAATGTAGTCAAGAGACTGGGTAACTTCCTAGTGGTAGCTAGAAAGCTGCTGCCCATTAAGTGATGTGAGAGGCTGTTTGCTAGACCCCTGGGACAATGAAAACCAGCAAGAGGTGGTTAACTTAATAAAGGAGTTCCCTCTTCATTTTTTTCCTGTTAATGTACAACAGCTGATTTTGAAGATTATTTCTACAGCCACCGGGAAATCTTCTGCATGCCAGGGCTACTTCTGAGTGCTTCTGTGTTTGGGGCCAGGCTGAGATACCCAGAGGCTGAATTTCACTGATTCTGAGCACTTAGTATTTCAGCTAAAATCAAAGAAAGACAAAAGGTGGTCAGGCTCTCTAGGAAGCAAAACCATCAGGGCTAACACTCAAGCTGGGCAATTCAAAATTAGGTAACACTTTCAAATCATCAGCTGTAGTCCTCCCCTCATATCCATCTCAACTGAGGGAGAAAAGATGTAAATTAGATCAGACCCCATAGCAAGAAAAAGAATAAAGCACATCTGTGTTACTTTCTCCTTTCTATCCATGAAAGGCAGGGAACAGAGACAAATATTTGACTGACCCTGCTACAGAACTTCCCGAGTTGCTGTTCAGTTTATCACAGGGTCAACTCTGAAAACAAATGAAAACTTGTAAAAACAATCAATTATTGGTTCTAGTAACTCTAAAGACAAATTTTTGTGGCTACCAGCTATATAAAGCTGAAGAGTACAAACCTGCGTATTCTTCACTGCTTGAATTAACTTTTGAGAAGTGCTTGTAGTGGATTATATTGAAAGCAAATTAATATTGTTGCTACTTCAAAAACTATGTGACAGTTCCCAAATTACACTTAAAGAAATGAAATGTTTCCTTTACTTAGGAGAACACATTGCTTGTCTTCTATGACCATTTTTCCTCGTCCTTTTGTTTCTTACTCTGATTTTGTAAAAACTAAAATCCAGTGTGCTGAAATAGTTCAGTTGTGTTGAAACTGTCTTACTTCAACTGAGCAGTGTCTAAAGGCCTTATTTTGTAATAAGAACACCTACTAGATTCGGTGTCCCTCCACCTTTCCAATACCTTATTCACATATGAAAAGCACCAAAGTCCTTTAAGAACAAAAGACCAAAACCAGTTCAGGCTACAAAATAGTATTGTAACTGGACAGTCATTTTTTTTCCCAGCCCCCGATTATGATATCCACGTTAATTTCGCAGGTCAGGGGAGGGGAAGGGGGATGAGCAGAATGCATGCAAACAGCATCTGTGAGGAAAGGAAGCAGTAGCACTCAGCCGAGCGATGGAATCTGCCAAACCTGTCTCCGAGCTGCGGCTATCCTTCCCTGACCCCTGGACGCGCTGTCCGGGCGCGGCAGTCCCGCAGCACAACCCCACCGGGAGCAGCTCCCAGGCTCCAGCCAAACACGCACTAACACCAGCTAGGAGCCTCCCGCCTCCTTAGCGCGGCGGGAGCAGGGCTGCCCCGGGCATCCCGTTCCCCCCCAGACCTCACTCCAGCCTTGTGTCCAGCACTCTGTTAACCGGTGCAGTGCGCATGTACGGGAGCAATTAGCACTGCTCAGATTAATAATAATAATAATAATAATAAAACCACAAAAAAAACGGAGTTATCTTACCTTATAATTAGACCTTTTTTAAAAAAAGCTACAAAAAAGAAAAAGCCCCAAACCCAATGGAAAGGGCCCGCTCCAGCTCACCCTCTGCCGTACGGAAGGCGCCTCACGCAGCTGCCGTGTCCCCCCGCCCCGCAAGGTGACTGCTGCGCCCCGCCGCGGGGTCGGTGCCGGTCCGGGGTGGCTGTGCCGGGGTCGGGGGGGGCCGTGCCGTCGGCGCGGCATTGTGAGCTCCCTCCCGGGGCAGAGGGAAGGGGTGGAGCCGCCGCTGAGGCTCGGCGGGGCAGAGGGGTGGAAGGGGTTGAAGTGGCTCTGTTGCTCGGTTCTGACAGTGCCTCGTTTTAGTGTCGCTTCCCAGGAGTTGATTATTGACAGACCCCTCCGGGTTTACAGTGTGTAGGTTAACGATTAAGGAATAAGAATATGATCGCCGAGAACGCATGTGAATTGCTGTCGCGTAGCCGAGCTAGGATGCGCAAAAGCGATGCTCTCCAGCCCGAGTTGCCAGTTCGTTCCTCTGACTCAAGAGAAGTTCACAATGCTTTTCTGTTGTCTTCCTGGTGTTTGAAGTGACAGTACCACTGTCGGTAAGCACTGGCTGATCTTAAGATCAGTTGGTAACCGCATGACTACATGAAGAAAATCCCCCGTGGATTTAATATACATGCATATTTGGTTTTGAAAATTAATGCATAGTAGCAAGGCTAACTGAAGGTCTGTGTGAGGTCTGAAAAGCACCACTCTGCTAGCTCCCTTTTTAAAGAAGTTGTAAGTCAGCCCTTTTGTTCCCAAACCAACATAAAAGAATTTAGGAACTCCTGCTATTTGCCTAATGATTCCCTAGATTGCTCACAGTGCTTTTCCAAGTCTTTGCAAGGCAAATGAGAACCCACTCTACCTTTTCCCTTCCGTTTTTCTTTCTCCTTCTCCTTCATCTATTCTTTCCCCTTCCCTTTCTCCCCACTCTTTGCCTTCCCATTCGTCTTCCTCTTTTCTTAAGAAGCTTTCGATACCCAAAACCACTGAAAGCATATCATGTCAAATATTATGCATAAAAATGGACCAGTGTGTGTTTATATCTTGAGAAGGCACCTAATTTTGTGTTATTTTCCCTTACGACCCTCATCTCATTCACCATACAGCCTGGACAGTGCTCATTTGAAAAGCAGGAGCTTGGTGATTGATTTTATGCTCTGTATTCAAGGCCCTGTTTACCACATGCTCTTAAGACTCTGCTGAGAACAGAATTATTCATTTCTGGGTAGAAGATAGAAACACAAAGGGACTAGGGATTGGCTGGGACACCTGCTCTGGGGTGTACAGGATGTGGTTTTCAGAGCTCTGCAGGGTGGGTGTTGCAGGTGCTCAGGTCACAGCCCCCTTTGCCTCCAGCCCAGTAGTGCATGCTTCAGACTCCTTCATGTCAGAGCCCAGATCTCCAACAAGCTTCCCAAAACAAGAATCTGACTTAGAGTAAAAACCATTCACAACCCACATAAATATGCTTCACATGACTTAACTAGTGCCATGTAGGAAATCCGCCACACAAACTCAATGGGTAGAGTCACATTTTCCAGGGAAACGTATACTAGCCTTAATCATTCTCTCCCTTTTTATATTCCCCTACCTCATTTACTAAATACTTTCCAAAACAGGAAGTTGGGGTCCTACAGAGAAATTGTTGCTTCCTGTGAGCAAAACTGATGCATCTCAATATGTTTCTGGTTTTCCAGTGTCACAGGTTTCTGTACAAAACTTGTGCCTGATTGTGCAATTACAAATGATCACATGCATTGAGCAGACAAATGTTCTGCTTACTCCACTTCTTTACTTACTGTGTCCTTTGCAATCCTAGGAACTGTTCTGGTAGAACAGAACATATTCTTTAAAAAAGAGGAAATTGCACACACAGTGGCAAACACTAGAACAAATATCCACTATCAAAATTTAATGGTGTGGCACAGGCACTTAGTGAGATTGCAAGAAGAGTTCAGATCCTTCAGATTGCCTGCATAAAAGTCTGCACTCTGAGTCAACAAAATAATTGATAGCAACAGCAGGTTGTTAGCCTTAAGGCAGTTTGATACTAAAAAGGCATACAGCACTTTGCAGGCAAAGCTGGAAACTCTCTGCTGACAGGTTTGAGACAAGCAGCTGGGAGCAAGGCTCTGCCTCACTGACAGCGCTGTCTCTGGTAAAACACCCCATCCCATGGGCATCTGGTTACACACCCCATCCCGCTTGTTGCACAACTCATCCAGTCCCACTGCACCCACTGTTTGGTCCCAGGCTCCTTCTCATCTCTGTACTCTATTTCTAACCCCCACCTTTCTCAAGTCCACAACCCTCCTAGATGTCTCCTCATATCTGCTGTGGCTCTTTTTTTGTCTGTGATGCCATGCTTGGGCCAGGCTGGAGCTGCAAGCCACACATGGTCTCATCTCAGCAGAAATTTCAGGGATGTCAGGAGGATCCTAATTCTTCTATTAGGAAAGGAACTGTGAGTTTATAGCAGTCAGCTTTGTAAAGATATGACATGAGGAATGGAGGGGACAATGGGTTTCCAGGCCAGAAATGATCACTGTCTCATGAAGTCCAAACACTCAGCATGATCAGCAGGCCAAGGGAGGTGATTTTCCCCCTTTATTCCACTCTTATGAGATCCCATCACAGTACTGTATCCAGCTCTGGGGCCCCCAATGAAAGAAGGATGTGGACCTGTTTGAGTGATTCCAGAGGGGGGCCATGAAGGTGATCAGAGGACTGGAGAGCCTCTCCTTGTGAAAACAGGCTGAGAGAGTTGAGCTTCTTCAGCTTGGAGAAGAGAAGACCCGGAGAGACCTTATAGCAGCCTTGCAGTACCTAAAAGGGGCCTACAGGAAATCTGGAGAGGGACTTTTTGCAAGGGCATGTAGTGACAGGGCAAGAGGGAATGGCTTCAAACTGAAAGAGGGGAGATTTAGGAAAAGAATCTTCACTATGAAGGTTGTGAGACACTGGCACAGGTTGCCCAGAGAAGCTGCCCCATCCCTGGCAGTGTTCAAGGCCAGGCTGGACCGGGCTTTGAGCAACCTGGTCTAGTGGAAGGTGTCCCTGCCTGTGGAAGGTGTCCCTGCCCATGGCATGTGGGTTGGAACGGGATGATCTTTAAAAGGTCCCTTCCAACCCAAACTGTTGTGTGATTCTATGGTAAAGGTACTCCATGTATCATTATTTCTCAAAAGTGCCTTCACTTTTAAGTCACATCAAAAGCTGGGAAGATCTAACTTGCTCCCCAGAATTTCATGAATCTTTCTGTTTATGCTTTCATTGTGATGAAGTATTCCAAGAAACACATTCCTGAGTAAAGCAGCACTTGCAACTTTGTAAGACCAGATAAGAAAAACACCAAGAAATAAAAGCAGGGGAGAGAATAGATAGGAATACCAAATTCCAGATCATCTCTGAAAGTCAGAGATTGTGCTGTGTATCTGTCACAGTTGTCAGCTACAGAGGAGAGTAACTGGGAAGCAAAGGATGGAATTGGTTTAACTACTTAATGATGTGCTAATACACTACACATTTATTCAATAAGTTGCTCTCTTTAATAAATCACTAACCTCTGCACAGCAGTGGATTCTTCTTGTTGATCTTAGGGACTTCTAACAGATGATTGCCTGATTATAAAATTCTCTGTAAAGAAGGCTTTGTAACCTTCCCAGCAGGCTGCCCCACTCTCTGCTGGCTCTTCAGTGAAGAAGCACATGTAACATTTAGAGTGAAGGCAGCACTTGCAGCTGTTTCCAACTTCTCTAAGATGTTATGAAAAGCCCAGATATTTCTGTTTGTGCAGCACAAAACTTTTCCCAATTTTGTGTTTACTTACATATATGAAAAAGTATGCTGTGCTGTTTGCCAGACTTGGTTTTCTTGTTCAAAACACCTCTAAAGCACTGCAAATTTTCCATCATTATTTTGGTGGGTTTCTTCCTTCCTAAGTCAAACTCATTTGGTAAGTCAGACCTGTCCTCTATTTTCTGCTTAGCCAGCTGCATACTCTGAGCATAACAGATATTAATGCATTCAGTAGCATCTTGAACATGAAAACTTTGAATACTGGGAGAGGTGAAAGGCTGATTTTAACTTGCTGCTGGAGATCTAGTGACCAAGGTGATCCATCAGGCCTTTTGGAGACAAATAAGTAATGGGGATAAATACAGTAAATTCTTGAAACATGATTTTGTAGGAAAGGCCTGAGAAAAAGACTTCAAGTTGGACTCTGTGCTGTTATATCTCAGGCAATACATTTTATATGGCATACGTCATGCACACTAAAAAACTTCATTTGGTGAGCTGCACTGACAACTGGCTTTGTTCACCTTTGGTCTTATTTAAAACAGGTTGTTCATGCAGCTGTTAAAGAAATGGTGCAAGCACACACACACATTTGCACACAGGCTTTGTTATTGCTCCTCAGATCTTTCTAAATAAGTCATGCTCCCTAGATTTTAAATGCTTTTTCTCTTTGCAGCATGAAAATCGCCCTGTTAGGATCTGCTGTCTTTTGTGGAAACATGATTCAGAAGTTTAACAAAAGCATTTCTGGCTTTGTTTTCCTTTCCACTTTTTTTCCCCCCTTCTGTTTGGGTTTTTGTTTTTTTTTTTCCTTAACATTTGTGTGTATCCTTCCGATATCTGGGAAAGCTCAGTATCTCCAGTACTGGTGGGACTCCCTGAAGGAAAAGTGATTACAGCTGAAGTAGAACCTGTCTATGTCAAGGATACTCTTTTAAAGTATGATTAGATCATTGCTTTGTGAACAAGCACCAACAGTGTAATAGAAACAGCCTGTGGCCCTTTGACCAAAGCATCTCTGGAGCCCTAGGAAGAGGTGTCCAGGACCTCAGAGGAGCAAGTGCACACGGCAGAACGGTTCCTTGCTGCCCCCTGTGGACCTGCCAGTTTTAGCATTGCTTGCTTCACGTATCTATGCTTTATTAGAGCATCCGCTAATACTATCTTCACCTATCTGGTCTCCACGCTTGCTTTTCTAAATTGCTCACGTTCGATTTGCTAGATGTTCATGTAGAAAAATGATGTGGAAGAGTGAACTTGAGGCTTTGAGAGCAGAGAGAGCAGTGTTTTTTCTCAGCTTACCAGGAGATACTTGGGTCTTTTAGCTGTGTCTTGGCCTCTCTTGCTCATGATGGGTCTGGGACATGAATTAAGCCTGACTGACTTTCACCCATATGTTGCTTGTCTGTTGGCAGCTGGCTCTCTGTTGTTGCACTTCCTGCGGCCTCCCCCACACCTGACTTCTCTGAGTGTGGATTTATAGAACAGAAATACTCCATCTAGAGATAAAAGTCACATTTTTAGGTGTGTCAATAAGTAACTCATAAAGAACACTGCTAAATATTCCCTAACTGGAAACTGAAAATTAAGGCAGAATTACTTTCTTTCCTAAAGTGTATCATCTGTTGGTGCAAACAAGTTCTGGGAAGTCCCAGAGCCTGTGCTATATTGCATCAAGCAACATCATCAGTATGATGGCTTCTGCTTCATTTTTGCTGTATTTTTATATATGTCTTTGCTTGCAGCTCAGGCTATCTTCCATCTTCATCTGCCATCTTCCTTCTCTCTGCCATCCAACTGGAAGGCTCTACAGCTCTCTGCTTTTGCCAACAGCTAGTTCCCTCACCACTCCCTCTGTTCTTATTAATCTCATAATTTAGATACTTCCCATATTCTTTTTCTCACGTCTGCCATCCCCTGACTTAAACATGCCTCTTTGCTATTCTTTGTCCTTTACCTTCCAGTTCTATGAGTTCAGTTCTTGCCCTACTGCTTTAACTCCTCATGAGCTTTTCTGGACTTCCTTTCCTTTTGTGCTTCTTACTGACTCCTCCTTAAAGCAAGGTGATCCAGTGACTGACTGGGATCAATAGGCACCTGAGTCCTACACCTAAAACTAAACATCCACCTCACTGCTTCCCATTTGCTACGCCAGTGAAAAAAATGTATTTGGTGGAGTGAATAAAGCAAGTGGGCAGGAAAAAAAACAAGAGAAAACAGGCTCTGTAGAATTGCTGCTTTGTCTTAGCACCAAGCAACACAAGTGATGGTGTCTGGAGTCACCATGACAGGGATTCAAACATGGGAGAGTGTTAAAAAAATAAGAGTGAAGTGTTTTAAAATCTGGATTTAGGAAGCAGCATCATTCATATAATTGCATACATGGGGTTAGTCAAGCATGGAAAAGCTCACACAGCTTACAACAGCAGTGCAGCTTGAGAAAAAGAGTCTGCTCAAGTGGAGTCAATATTAGAACTCCATTTTCCTCAATGCAGGGTCTCAGATTTTCTTAGAAATAAAGACTATGTGTGCACTGGCTTATATCATACTTGGCCACCTCAGTCACAGCTTGACACAAGGATAAAACAATCCACACCTATAGAAGCACAGAAAAGTAAATAATCTCATGAAGATTCCTTCTTGATTTTTAGGTATGACTTCCTATGAACACCATATTCAGTAACTTGGTAAATAATGAATCCCTAGTAAAATTATCAAATGCTGTAAAAGAGCAGTTAGCAGCTGATTTTCTGAACTAAAAAGATACTGATAGATTTTAACATCAGCACTGAGTAATCTTGGCAGTCGCACCACAGTCTAATACACTATGTCCCAACTGTCAGTCTGAAAGTCTATGAAGGTATTTCTGTTAATTTTCATGCCAGAAGCCTCAGCTCTTGCCCTGAACACAAAGGAAAACACACCTACCCACCATAGCCATATCACAACTTCACCTTTTCTAGTTCTTTAGTTTTCCAGAGATGCAACATAAATGGACACCTCTTCTCCCCTAACAAACAAACAACAAAACCCACCACAACTGTGAATTCTTATCTTTGCTGCTTGCATTAGAAGATTTGTGTCTATTGAGAGGCAATTATAGAAGAGACTGTCCCCACTGTACACCCCACAGCACTCACCCGGGAGATAGACTCTCCCAGGATTTGAGCCTGGTGTTTTAACCTCCTACTTGTTGCTTATAACAGGATACAAAAAAATAAAGACTCACATAGATCTGTGGAATTCAATTAATGAAGAATTGTAAAAGAGAAAGATAGAAAAACTAACATACATATAAATCTGATTTTTGGGAAGAACTGTATCTTGCAGATCTTGTATTTTGCATGTTGCACATCCTTGGAAGTCCTATCATCTTGCCTGAGACGAACATCACTCTCCATCTGAGGTTATTTGGGCCTCATGAAATACATGTCTTTACACATGTAACGGTGAGGGGCTTCATCTGAGGACCATGGAGACACAGGCTGACCACAGGCATCATACAAGAAAGGGAGCCGTAGATGCTTCCATCCAAAGGGAGACTTGCAAGGGGACTGCATCTTGCACCAGCGCCTGCAATGTGCATTACTTGCCCAGGAAGTTGCATACGTGGTTTTATTTCTCTCCTCAGCCTGAAGCCATTTCAGCTTGTACTACCCTTTTCCAAGGTAATATCATAATCACCAGCCTGTTGCATATTTGAACAGCTGAAGAAAAGGACAGGGAAAATATATGTACCCAGATGGAGAGCAAGCGAGGAGAAACTAGGCCAGTTTCATACACTAAGTGTGAATTAGAATGTGCCCTTCTTGTCTCTGCTTGCCTTAAAATTTCTTTCTGTCCTGTCTGTGTTGCCCTCTGAATAACTGCAGGGTTTATGCATCCTGGCATATAGAAGTTATACGAAAATAGAATCAAACAGGAAATAAATATTGCTGATAAATTATTTTTCTGGAGACCAAACTCTTATGCAGGAGCTTAAGAAATTGCTGTATGTAATACATTTATATATGCCTAGATACACTTCTACAGATACAATGCACACACTGTTCTAACATTTTCAGAATTTTATCCCTGATTCTCATTAATCCTATTAATCAAGAAGAGCTCTACTGACTTCAAAGGAATTGCAACAATGCCAGCTTTGTGCTTATAAAATCCAGCATCAGGTTGGCATTTTTACAGATCAGTTATTTCTTAAGACCTGAAGAAGCTGGATGTAGAGAGTTCAGTGTGTTAATGATGGACACAAAGCAATTGTGCTTGCCACCAAAAGCAAGTTGGACCAACAGCAGCACTTGGTCTGTCAGATAATGACAAGAGCCAGTCAGACTGGGACACACTCTTCTCTGTTGTAGGACTAGCAGGGCCCACAGCGTGAATTCTGCAACAACTGCAGGCAGCAGTGCCCTATCCTCCACACCACCCACCTGCCTTTCACCAGTATGGACACTGTTTTGCCTCTACTGTTTTTGGAAACCAGGTTTGTATCCCACCCAGCAACTTGCAAAATGAAAAAATGTTGAAAGCTATGCATCATTTTAAAACAAGTCATGCAGGAACAGCCTGATATTTAAATGATAAAAGATGGATAATACATCTACCCCTTTTCAGTTCCTCTGAAAATAAACATTTTACATGGAATTGTACAGGAACTTTCATCCTGTAATATATGCACTTGTCACTGAGAGATACTTTTATCACCTATGACATAATTCCTATCATCAGAAAAGCATTGCTGTCGCTCTACGATAATTTAGCCTCATTTTCTGCTCATTTCTTTATCTTTTCTCATTAGGGCATTACATATTCAGCTATGTTACTATTAATCATTCTCTAACATAAGGAGCTAGATATCAGAGCTGTGTGACTAACTGATTTTTCAGTTTCAGAGCTGAACCAAAAATTGAATAAGTAATTATCAAAGAAAAAGAAAGAAAAAGCAGCTTTATTTTTTTCTTTCTCATTTGAGTAAAAAATAAAAACTTTTATGTGAATTTCAATGAAACATTTGTTGACTTGAATAGGTAATTTAATTTCCATCTTCATCATTTTTAGAAAAGCAACAAATAGAGAGGACCATCTCTTGGGACCATTCACCAAATGAACAGGTAAAAAATTCTTGCTTTTTTGGAAGATGGAGAGACCTGGACCAGTTATTCCTATGTCTGGGGGAATTCGAATACCCAGGCACTGACCTACAAGAACATTTTCACCCCTTAGGTGAAAATAACTCAGAAAGTATGTAAATGACGTGCAAAAGTGGAACAATTTTACCTGAGAAGAGTAGGAACAGAAACCCCAAGAGATCCAATGACATGACCAAGAAGGCCTCTTCAGAAAGGTGGGTTTGGATCCCAACAGATTGATGGGAGGATTGAAAGTCTCCCATGGACCACATGAACACCTCAATCACAGGGTTATTTGATAAGGCTTTTTGATTAGCTGGTCTTATGAATTAAGTCATCAGATTTTCTTTGATGACATTTATAATAATTAGTCAAAACTAACTATGGCAACACAATATTATAATCACAGGCATATACAAATATGTGCTGAATTATGTATTTTGTGTTCTGCATTTCTTCCCCCTCACATTTGCACAAGCTTTGGCAAATTTCACAAGAACATTTAGTTTGGATTTCTGTGCCCCCTAGGTTTTTTCTTCTGCCTTAAGATTTTTCCCCATATAACCCTTAAAAAGAAGTGGAAACTGAAACAATGCAAATATAAAACTCTGCTGGTAGAGATACTGCAGGAATGAGAAGAGATGCACAACTTAGCACACTTTTGGGGAAGAAGATGAAAAAGCATTACATCTGTTTAGGGTTAGAAAAGCTTCTGTGTAGGGCTAATGAGTCAGAATAGCCTCCCTAGACGGGTGAAATCTTGACGTTCTTCAGACAATTTAGTGGAAGTTATCTGACCATATAGAACAGGTCTTGAATACTTGTAAGGCATTAATCAAAATAGTAAATCATATTCTTCACTAATCATTCTTTTCATCTCCATACAGGTAAACTTCCATGTAAACATAAAGCAAATATCCAAGATATTCAAGCTTGAGTGCTTATTAGCACAGATTTATACATGTAAATAAGTGGCATCTCTCTAAATTTTTAAGAAATTCACTGAAACCTGGCACTTCAACTGAAACCTGTTTCTAATCTTTCTGAATGAGGAAGCAATTTTCCCTACATGACCCTGATTCAGTTCTTGTTTTCTTTGCCTAAAAAATGACAACTTAAAAAGATGGCCTCAGTAGAGCTGTGAACTGATATTTATTTCAGTAGTATAATAACTCTGAAACATGCCAAAGGGCTCTTAAACGTTAAAATTGTTACCTATTGCACCCTGGACAGAGTTTGGGTTCGTGAGTAGATTTTGAATGAAGTCATTTTTTCCCCCCGCCTGACCCTGGAAGCATTTGAATTGATGATTTTAGCAAGCAGACTTGCTGGGAATAATGAATTACATATAGTTTTGTATAATAATTCTCTCTCAAGGGCTGTGAAGCTGATGCCTACTTAGAAAGAGTTTTGGAAGAATAGCTGAAACAACACATGATGCCATTTTATGTAATCCCAGAAGTGACTGAAAGACTGGACAGTTTTGAGGACTATCCAAGTGTCAAGAGATGGATTTGGATTAGTCCCAGCTCGTGGCAAGCTTCACATTCTGTAAAACTTGCAGTACTTTTCATATTGCTTCTCCACAGTCAGATGTGGCTGTTTGTCCTCTCATTTTTAAATTACCTTTGGAGCCATTTTGTTGCATCTAGGGACCAGATTCATTAGTTAAAACATAAACTCTGAGCCATCGCTGCCTTCCAGTCAGCTAAAGCTGTTAAACAGCACCTGCAAAATGGATGACCTTCAGATTTACTTAACTGTGCAGAAATTGTATTTGTCATTCCCAGGTTTTTTCATTTATTTCTTTTAATAGACTACCACAGAGTTTGTGATCTGTGATCCTGTGAATGTCTTATGTTGACAGAAAATAGCCAGTGTTTCCAAACCATACAGAGAGCGTGTCAGCCTACAAGAAAAGAATAAAACCTGTACTGTTGTCTTCTACATTATAAGATTAAAAGTTTAGAGATGCACTTACTGAAATGTAGACAGTGACTCAGTGCTCTACTTTAGCCAGTAATGTGCAGTAAGAGGAGTAACTACTGTAGGCAGTAGTGAATTCCCACAGTCCCATTGGGCTGGATTTTCCTTTTTTGGGGTCACAGTTTGGAAACCAGGACAGAGAAACAGTCACCATATGAGAAAAAACCCAGAGTACAAATATGGCTAAGAACTCTTAAAAGAAAAAAAAAAAAAAAAAAGGCAAAAACTTTCTGTAAAGTAACTTAATTTCCAGACTTTAAAAGAATCACCAGCAGATTACACAGTTGCAGGCTAAAATCTGTGCTATATGTTTGCATCAGACACCTAACCCCAAGATCTCTGTATGGGGCTATTCTCACCACAGAATTTGCCTTAAACTGGTAAATCACAGAGATTTATTAGCCCTGAACACTTCATACTTTTGGCTTGATTGTTCTCTAAAGAAGTAATTGATAGATACTCTGCCCTTCTGTCTTCCTGCCAGCTTCTTTATTTTACAGTCTTCATAAAAAATCAAGAGAGATTGCAAACTGGAAAGGTAACATACACAAAATCTCCAAGCTATGTCTCACTCCAGCCTTCACACTTGCTTGGGTCCATGAAATAAAGGGAAACAAAGCAAGTACTTCCCAGTGAAAGGCTTGGTACTGCCATTTTGTGGGAAAAGGGAGAAGAGAAGCTTTGGAAATAAAAGCAGAAATGCAAAAAGGGGGGGGCGGGGAAGATTTTAAAAACTTGCTAACATCAACACTCCCATTTTTGTTTCAAGAAGGCTGTGTGCTTTATTGCTCACAGATCAGTTTCCTTTGCAGGTGATGTGGGCCCAGAATTACATCACCAGCAGAGCAGCCAAGAGCATCTTGGTGCCAGGATGACCAAAGCCGAGAGGAATGTATTATCACAGACCTCCGAGGGACTTGCCAGTGCATTCCTTGCTGGGGGTGCTGCGATGGGGGAGGCAGAGAGGAGACAATTTTACTCAAAGACTGAAAGGAAACTTTGTGGAGGAAAGATCTGGGGTCACAGTCCTGCTGTCTCCTCTAAGCAGATCTAATTATGGCCATGTACTTCAAAAAGAGGGTTTAACTAAAACCAGATTTAGCAGGGCACTGCTTAGGAAGTACAGACTGAATCCCCAGCCTTGCCTTTGAGGAAAATGTGAAATGTTTCAGTGCACTGGGAACGCTGTCACTGTGGTTGTAAAGAATAATTTGAAGCAAGGAAAGAGCCAATTTTAAATCCTCATCACTTCACTGAATAAAGTCTTACAATAAGATGTGACTAAACATAATATCAATGCTTTCAGAAAACACTTCCATTAGATACTAGGTGTATATTTACTGATACGTTTTGTGGTGAGGTAAACAAATCCCAGGGATTGTGCTGGAAATGATCAAATTACTTACGAAGCAGTTGCACAAATCTCCCTTAGGGAGCTCCATCAAAGCCTTTCTGCCACATCACACCCTCTCTTCAGCAAACCACGTCCCATGCATATGAAAGAAACTCCCTCCTCCCCCCATTTTTGAAGGCTTTCAGGCTATTTCTGCCCTCCGTCCTGCAGGACTGGCTCAGTGGTTCTCACCACAAGGCTGTTTCTGAACCATTAAAACCAATGGGAGCTTTCCAGTGCTTTTAATAGCAGCAAAATGTGCTGTCGACAAACAGGATTAGAAGAAGAGTACAATACAATTTTTTTCAGAGATTAACACCTCTAAAAATGTCAGGATTTTAAGTCTCATCTCCTAGGTCAATTAAGAGATGGAAGCAGTGCAGAGACTACACAGATCTCTCCCCTTTGCCACCAGAGGAAAAAGTCCAGCTAATCAAATAAGGAAGTTTGTGCTTGACTCTGAAGATCAGTTTCCAGTGCAACTCCAGTCAGACCCTCATTCTCCACCTGCCGAACCAGAGACTCCTTACCCCATCATCTGCCACCAACAGTCTCTGAAGGGGCCCAGGGGCCTCCAGCTCTTCTCCTTGTTCCGCAGCCTCTTCAGAAGGCTCCAGAAAGATGGCTGCTTTTGCATTTCCAGGGTAGGAGATGCCCAAGGAAAACTTAATGTTATAGGAACAGCAGCTGAGATGGGCAAGTGTGGAATATGGGAATGTTGGTCAAAAGATAAAAATAGAAAATGTCCCTAATTTTCAAAACATTCCCATTTTTAGATATTATTACAACATACCATATGGAATTTTGCACAGCCACCATGTCTGTAGAAGCACCTTCCACTAAAAGTACCAAATTTCTTTCATCTCCGTCTGGCAAACAGTTGTTGCTACTCTCTTGCTGTAACATGCCAACATTTTCCACAACCTTTCTGCAGCTTAGTTGCACTTGGTGTTGCAGAGCCAACATCAACAGCCAGTTTTCTCCATTTACCCCTCCTAGGTGCCTACATCTTGAACATCCTGTGTACAATTTTATCTTTTCTTTCATGCATAATTATTCCTGACAAATCATGTTTTCCTGTTAATTCCTTCCTGTGCAAGGCTGACCTAATACTTGCTCCTTCACAAGGACTGTTTGCCTTCATATCATGCTGTTGTGGATGGATTAGAGATAACGCATGAAACTGTATGTAAAAAAACAATATTCCAGAGTAAATACATTAAGAGAGTGCTAGAAATATGTTAGAACTGACGCATATTTCTGCTCTTAAAGAATTTCTTTTTTTATCTTGTTGAGACTTTCACAGAGCAGCAAGAGCAAATGTGGCCTGTAAAAGTTGGTGTGATCAGGAAAGACTGGTAAAATACTGTGAGGAAAGAAATTACATTGAGTCCAGGATAGAAATTATTCCTGCTCTCCTTATACCAGACTGCTATGAGATGGCTGTCCCATAGGACTGTTCTTCCTCAGGCTCACCCTGACTCATTAGCATTATAACTGCAAGTGCAGCAGAGGGGCTGACAGGCAAAGTTCACCTTGGTGTCCCTTTTTTTTTTCATGGAGACTACATGGCTGTTCAGCTCTTAACAAAATAAGCCCCAAGCCTCAAAGCACCACAGTAAAATAGATTATGTATAGTGGTACTTATAAAATAAGAATGCTTATGCAGGATCCTTGAGAAATGCCTTTGGGCAGGTCACTTTTCTGTCCCAATATGCAGATTAAGTGAATATTAGAGGGGCTTTTTGTATGTTTTAAGCTACTGTAACTTAATCTTTCCCGTACAAACTCCTTCTTTTTGACAAAAATCTATTGCTGATTACCACTGCGGGGCTTTCCTGAGAAGTCATCCCATCACCTTCTCTTTTGCCATGAATATAGCTCTCAAGCAATACTACTTCCACTTTTTAATACCTACAAAGATGTGGGTGCAGCCTCAGTTTCATGTGCACTTAGCAAACAAAGATGAGGCATTGAGATCATTTAAGACTATACACTAATGTGTGGTTTCCAAACCATCCTGACTTTGCTAATCTGTTTTGCCAGTGACCTGGAAGGAGGACCTTGAAGAGGGACAGACACGCATGAGTGGTTTTCTGTGTTTGCCTGCATGCCATGTTCTCCCTGCTTGGTCACTACTAAACTTGAAATGAATTTTCTTATTAGTGCCTTAGACAAACAGAGTGGATTAAATAGCAAACATCAGGTTTCTCATGTCACTCAACATAAATCCAAAGGGCTTCAGGCCTGCAATTCTTCCCCTGCAGCCACCAGTACAGAGGCATTGGCAACTAAAGCCAGGGGATTTAGTTGCTCTGAAAGATCTGCTTTCAATAGAAGTTCAAATTCAAATACTTCTTTTTTTATTGCTGTTTTTACAAAAATTATAGAATGAAGAAAACCTGAAGTTTAAAAGAAACGAGAGAGCAGGAAGAGTATCAGAAAATACCCACAGAGATGGGACTTGATATTTCAGTGGTAGTAATGTGAGACAAAAAGCTTTTCAATTAATTCATTGAAGGAAGTCTTTTCAAAACAGGTTATGATCTGAGGGTACATAGCAGCCTCCATGAATTGAGCTGGAATAATAGGACAGCAATAATTGTCAACTTAAAGTGAATATAAAATATAAAGACAAATGTAAATGGTATTTTAATACCACTTTTACTTTTGTAGCATTTATTGCCTGAATGTCCACACCTACATGGATATTCTGCATAGAGAAAAAATGACATCTATGAGAATCAGATGTGAAATTGCTCCTTGGAAATAGAACAATTATTTTTTTTTTTATTTTTCTGCTAAACGATTCAAATTGCTAAGATCCAGAAACAATTTAAAGTTTTCCAATCAACCCAGGAAAATGCAGAGACAGAAAACCAGCAGCTATTAAACCAGGAAATACAGTCACTGTAGCTTATGTGCCACCTACTCAAAGCCGGCACTGAACTGCGCTCAGGAAATACACAAAACAATTTAGCTCCTGGCTTTTTGCAAATGCCTGCCACCACCAGACTGTGGTTTCCTCAAAAGCATTTCTTCTTTGAACTTGCCTTACGTATTTTTCTCAGAGCTTTTTTTAAAAAGTTGTGGATTGATTTCAAGCAGTTTGGTATGAGCATGAAAATTCCACATTGAAAAACTGAGGCTGTAAGCAAGTGCTCATTCTTCACCTATGGTAGGTGCTTTTTGTTTTCTTAGAGCCTCAGAGAACAAGTTACTCCCACAAGGAGTACAAACACTGGAAGAAAAAAACCTGGAGTACATAAGCCTGTGAGATAAACACTGCAGAAAGTCCACTGCAGACTGGGCATGTTTTATAAGACATAAAAGTAATTTCTTCCAGGGGAACACAGAACTTGCCTGAGGCATGTGACTCCAAAAATATGAAAAATAATGCAAGTGGCTTGTGACTTTGCAAGCCTAAATGTGAAGGGCATGGCAAAATCCCTACCACTTGTGTGCCAGTATCCTAATGTGTGTTGTGGTTTTCCTTACTGTCCTCCTGCTGTGACAAACAGTGCCCTGTCCTTCATGAAATGCAGCACTTAGCTAAGCATGCCAGCCTCAAACGCAGCCAACAGAAATAACATCTGATCAAAAGCTACCTGAAGGTGAACCCAAAACAGGCATGAGTAATTCAAAACAAATTTGTTTCTTAATTCAAGCGCACCCTATACGAACACTTGGTGGTATTCCTCCAACTCTAGATTTGCACAGTAATGTACTTACTAGTAACATAAGTGCACCAACATTTACAAATAGTTTACACATGAGTTTAGTGTCATTTAAACACAGAAAATATCAGACCATGTCACTGCTGAACAAGCTCTCAAATACCAGGGATACTCTTTGCACCGTCTTGGATACTCACCTCTCCCGCTCTTGTTCCAAGAGGTTGGTAAAGTCATCGCTCTTGTTCATGTAATCTGTATGTTTATGTTTCTCATTTTCTAGCTCATAAACTGTGCGGCGATGGCACTTTTCTGCCAACAGGAGCTGCTCCAGCATGCGCCGATATGTCTCTCTCTGCTTTTCTTCAAGTCTGTCCAGCTGGATGTAGGAAAGGAGAATATACTGTTTTAAGTCTCCTTGCTTACTTCATCTGATTTATTAACCAACAATGTTGTGTTTGGTAAATGCAAGTCCCATAATTTTATGTCTTGGCCTTTACATAAAGCAGTGACTAGAAATAAGAGTAACTGTCCTGTAAAAGTAGTGATTTCTTTGGACAGCATGTGTGCAATGAACATTTGCACAGTTCTCAGATACACAAAGGATAGAACTTCACCTAGTTTTAGGGTAAACAAATAATATTGTTCCAGGGCACAATTTCCTCTCTAGCAAAGTGATGTGCACACTTTCCTCATTTCACACAGGAAAAGCTATAGCAAATTCCGGGGCAGAGCCTGAGTTCATGTACTTAGATGAGGACTAAGACACCTACATGTGGACCGTAAGGTATAAGCTCGAGACTGAAATTTGAGTTATGCACCTTCAATGTACCTGCAGGACTGCTGAGATACAAAGTCTTAAACTATTTAGATTCAGTTTTATATTACCAAATACA